GTACCAAGAGATTTTCTTTTCACTAATATTTATTATGCTGTGAGCCCATTCACTCTTATTTTTAATCTCAATTTGACTTCCTCTCTTGAACATGTAAGATGCGAACCACAAGTATAGCATAGGCAGACAACAAAAAATCATCCCACCCCTTCTCTCATGGCGCAAGGTAATAGAATGATATGTATCAACAAGGATGGCTGGTACGGGGCTCTTTCTTTCATGTTTGAAGGCCAAGAAGACGTCGATCGCAGCAAAGTCAATGAAGTTTTCAACATTTGGGAATAAGACAATCCCATAAATAATAAGGGCGAGCACATCCATGAAGGCATCCCATTTCCCACTCTCTGCTAAGCTCAACGCACACCGCTCAAGGTTAATTCTCGAGAAACCTTCAATCCCCCCTTTATCTCTTTCTTGCTTGCTAGTTCTCTGGCATCAAGCCCCAAGGATGTGGCAACTTTGGTTAATGAAGGATAATGTCCCACGTACATATAAGACTTTTTATTTCCTAAGCAAATTCCCAATATCTGTTCGAATTCTTCGAGCAATGGTTAATTTTTAATAAATAATAATAATAATTAAGTAGTAAACTTAAATTTATATATTTAACTAAAATATAATCTAATTCTTCAATTTTCTATTCATAAGTTCTTTCTGTATATGTATTATTATTTTTATATATAATAAACATTAAAATATAAATTACCCACTTAAAATTTAATTTATTTAAAATATATAAGTAAATTAAAATTATATAAAAAAATGTTATGAATTGTATGTGAGTTTACATGAACCCAATATAATCCAATGGAGATGGGGTAGGTTTCAAAAATATAAACTTGTCTCTTTAAAACTAGAATCATTTCCCCCTCTCCTTTTACGAGAAAAGGACAGAGAAAGCAAAATTTTCTCTTAGCCATTGCTTGAGGAATTCGAACAGATATTGGGAATTTGCTTAGGAAATAAAAAGCCTTATATGTACATGGGACATTATCCTTCATTAACCAAAGTTGCCACATCCTTGGGGATTGATGCCAGAGAACTAGCAAGCAAGAAAGAGATAAAGGGGGGATTGAAGGTTTCTCGAGAATTAACCTTGAGCGATGTGCGTTGAGCTTAGCAGAGAGTGGGAAATGGGACGCCTTCATGGATGTGCTCGCCCTCATTATTTATGGGATTATCTTATTCCCAATAATGTTGAAAACTTCATTGACTTTGTTGCGATCAACATCTTCTTGGCCTTCAAACATGAAAGAAAAGCCCTGTACCAGCCATCCTTGCTGATACATATCATTCTCTTACCTTGCGCCATGAGAGAAGGGGTGGGATGATTTTTTGTTGTCTGCCTATGCTATACTTGTGGTTCACATCTTACATGTTCAAGAGAGGAAGTCAAATTGAGATTAAAAATAAGAGTGAATGGGCTCACAACATAACAAATCTTAGTGAAAAGACCATTTCTTGGTACTCGCGAGAGCAAAACATTGATGAAGTGATTTGTTAATGTGGACATTTCCCGAACGTACCACTCATGGGTACTAAAGGATGCGTAAACTATAACTACGCTCTTGCGATAAGGAAACTCGGTTATCCGATTAGAAGTCCACCGATTGAGGATTCGATTACTCCTTTCATGGTTTATGATATGACTGAGTTGGATATGCTTAACAAGATTAGACATTCTTGGGACATGGTGATCAAGAAATGGAGAGAGTTGGGAAAAAGAAATTGTAATGTGGAGGGGAGTTATCAACAGTGGCTTAGCGAGAGGGTCCAACATGTCAAGTTACCATTTCGGAGTCCCATTCTAATTATTGAAGGAACACCAATTCAAGAACCCATGAGTCAAGAGGAGATCGAAAAACTTAAAGAAGAGTTAGCCAAATTTGAGAAATAAAAAGAAAATATGAAGAAGGAATTAATACAGGCACTCCAAAAGTATCAAGCAGCGCAAAGAGAAATTTCTCAAGCAAGACAACGTGTTGAGCTAGCCAATAAGCGAGCAAGAATTGAAGAAGAAGGTAAGTTGAACACCCGCAATTGTTTAGAGGTTGCTTCCATAGAGTTAAAGATGCGGAGAGGTGAACATGACCAAGCTAGGGTTGATGGTGAACGATGGAAAGAGGCATGGGAAACATCCAAAAAAGTTGAGGGATTGGCACAAAAACAACTTGAGGATTTGAAGCAACAACTCAAAAGGGTAGTGGCTGAGTACGAAAGTAGAGTTCAAGGCGAAAAATGACTAAATTTCAATTTGAATATGGACTATCAAGCCACATTGGGGGAGATAAATCATCAGGTTATGGGCCTACAGGAAGAAGTAAGGAAATTGAGGGATGTCATCTGAATACGTGAAGAAAATCAAAGAATTTGAGCATATAATCTTGTGAATCGAGTTCAGCAAGTTAAAAACATGCTCAATGACACCTCTCACTTGCTACAATGAGCTGAAGGAATGTCGATCCCACATTCCACTCCCAAAGAAATTTATGACTTCCTTGAACACTGTAGAGATATGATAGCTAAGATGAGAGAGATAGCTATTAGTGGTGAATGATTTGTACTTTTATCTCTGAGTTATCATGATGTATTGCTTCACCTGATGTATTGCACTATTATGATTAATGAAGAAATTTTCTAGTTTCTACTTTGATTTCTCTTCCTTATTCGTTATATATGTTGTAATGTTACGCTCTAAAAATGAAAGCTAAGAGAGGACGCTCATGTGAAAACTACTCGTTTCATATTACACTTAGTACTTAGAACGTGGCGTTCTAAATGAAAGTTTAATTGACAATGATCACAAAGATCCACTGATTCCATGACCTAGTGCCTAGAACATGACGATCTAAGAGACAATTAAAGAAAGATGATTCCACACGAGTCATGCGATTTATGGCTCTCCAACAATTTAGCATTTGCACATACATGATGCATAATTACATTTTCATATCACCGCATACTCATCAGATTTTCATACACAGTTGTAAAATTGAAAAAGAAAACAACTATTGAGGCAAAGAAAGCATCCCTTCGACACCCTTACGGGACACGAGAAAAGACCAAAATCATGGAAGGGATGGTATACGACTTGGAGCAACAGCATGAGGAGATGAGAGAAGATGTAAATCAGTTGAAGGAACAAATGGGAAAGATTTTGGACTTGTTGCAGTCAATGGAATCTAAAAAAGGGGCAAATGGAGAGTCGTCTAAACAGCCTCATGAGTCACCTGATTACCCTCCTGGGTTTACTCCACGCACACAACCCAACCCGAGTGTTCAAGGGTACACACCACCTGTCGTCCTAACGACCTCAGAAAATAACCATCATGTTTCCACTTCAAACCTTTAAGGCCAAATCCCATTACCTCCATATGGCTTACCTCCAGGATACATGCCACCTGTGGCTAATATTCTTGAGGGTAATCCATCTACCTCCTCCTTAAACCCACCAAATCAAACACAAGCCCAAAACCTAACCCTTGAAGTCAATGACCCAAAAATTCTAACCCACCCATTTGCTCATGCACCATCTACCCATATGTATGCACCACCTAATGTAATTCATGGTGACAGGCCTCCTAATCACCAGGGGATAGTTCCTGCGCTAACTGTTATTGTACACCATCGTCATTCGGAAGATATTTCCCATGATGTTCAACTTCAATCTTTGGAAGACAGATTAAGGGCCATAGAGGGATTTGACAATTATGGTTTCAACATATACATAATTCCTTATGAAGTTATTACTTTTCTTGCACGAGTAGGGGTGCTGGAAGTGGTAGAGATGTCATACTCTCCTATTGATCACCACTTAAATTTAGCATTAGTTGAGCGATGGAGACCCGAAATACATACTTTTCACATGACATTTGGTGAGTGTACAATTATTGGTTGTTCGACATATAGATGGGTTCCACTTGTTAAAGATTTATTGAGAATTACACCATCACCAAATGCAATTTAAGTCGGAAGGCTAAAAATAAGTTGAGTTGATCAATACTTTTTTGATGTTTTCATGCATGTGTACAAGGTGCAACAAATGAAACAATACACCTGAGCTTATATTTTGTGATTACTTGAGAGTATGCTTTTCCCTAAACAAGTCTTCAGCACTAGTACCGATGCGATATTTGGTAATACTAACTGACATAGACCAATATGGTCAACTAAGTTGAGGATCAGTCGTGTGGTTATTTGGGAGTATACTTTTCTCTAACAAGTCTTCAACATTAGTACTGAAGCGATATTTGATAATGCTAACTAATTTATACCAATGTGGTCAACTAAGTTGGGGATCTGCCGAGCTTGTTGATTTATATCGAGAATTATGCTTTGTCATGAATTATGATCAAAAGGAAAATAGTGAAACATATGTGTTCTACTACAATTGTTGGCATGGTATTGGATGTCAAATTTTGCATCCTTTGACAACACCACTAAATATAGTTGGTGTTCCTATAGGTGCAAGGTAATATTTTTAATTAAATTTCCTTATTAAATATTAGATTTAACATTAGATAAGTATTTTTATTTAATTTGTTGTTTTCATATTTTCATATAGAATAATGTCTTGCATGCACCAAAAGAAGAACATAAGAAAAACAATTGTTCAAATTTGCAATGCTTTAGATAAGATGAAAGATAAAGATATAGGTTGAGAGTTTTTGTTGTTTACAATTTTAAAATGAATCTCTTGAAATTAATATTAATTTATGAATTTTTTGTGTGTAATTTATTTGGCAATCATGTCTTCAATATTTTCATTCGCTACTATCATATTGTGCAGAACAAATATAGCAGGATATGTATGGAGGCAGGAGTGAAACAGGAACTTATATATATCTAAACTTGCAGTCGAATTCGATTTTTCAAATCCGAAAACACCTATATTCAAACTCGTATTCAGCTAATGCAATTTTTTTCTAATAAAATTGGGTCAAAAATAGACAGATATAGATTCAATTGTTATGACACACGAATATTAATCTCAATAGAAATAGAAACAAAGGACAAATATATTGTATCATTAGACTTTCTCAATCGCAAGTGTGCATCAAGCAGGTACAATGATTAATACAACATATACACAATTAGATAACGGATTTGGAATTTTGTTTGAGGGACATTGGAGTATCATGATACCGGAGAGAAAAACACAAATCATATATGCAATGCAAAATGGTAGGCTTGTGAACAAGTGAAATTTGTGTCTTTCTCTCCTATCATGTCATAGGATGAAACACAAGGAGGGGATCACATCCTTTTATAACTACATATTGAAAAACCAAAGAAATTAAAGTGAAAAAGCAGGGAACATATATATATAATATGATATAAGTGTGTCTATTTGTCAATTTGGTTAAGTTTGCCCAAACCATTGCAACGAGCACAAACGATTTGAGTTTGATCCTTTCGTGCTGCATTTGCTCTCAATCTCACATCAGCCCTCCGGACAAACCCTGCTCCATCACATTCTGGGCATCTGCATGCCACACAAAGTGCAACAACGTACATATAAATTAAAGGCATCAAGCATCAAAACAGTGTAGTGTGTCCAAATGTTAATTGGTGAAGAGAAAACTAAGAAGATGGTATATATATTTACGTGTCTTTGCGAGAGAAGAAGATGGGGAAGGCGGTTCCAATGAGGGCAACAGCAACGGCACCAGCAACGAGGTAAGTGGTGCTGTCAGATGAGACATCTCCAACTGCTGAAACAACGATTGATGAAGATCTATGGCCGTTCCTCTGAAGCCTGGTGCATGGTGCCACAGTTGAGCCCGCAAACGAGATTCTAGTGATGGAAACGCCGACACGGGGAGGGGGGTTGGGTGCATTATTCTTGGGAATCATTGTCTGAAGAGGAATGATGGATGATGCCATGTTTTGGAACAAGTTGTGTTCCTCGGTCTGAAACAAAAACTTGGGATGTGAGAAGTGAGAAGTGAGAAGGACCAAGTGGGTATGTAAACATGACTCATGGTGTGGTTTTATGTATTGAAGATGGGTTGGAAATGATTTGGATAAGGCCACGTCAGAACTTGAGATTTCGTAGGGAAAGTGGATA